TCTCTGTATTCGGCCCTTCAAAAAGTGTGGTTGGTCCTACACGAAACCTTCACCACTATAATCAAATCTCATGTGCTGTTGTCGTGCTGTCGGTTTCCTACGAACTTGACCATCATAAGTCGAATTTGACGGGAGTGTCGAGTATCCTTTCTACATTCCGGGATACATACCCAAATGAAGGGAAATATGTTAAGAAAACTTACAAACATCTCACCTACACACATCATTTTACCTTCAACGCTATCAAACAAGCAGTCAAAATCAACAAAGACAAGAAAACGGGCATTATCAATAACATTTCTAACAAAAATTACACAAAATTTATAATCCTAACCGCCAAAACTGTTTCTACTAAACTTGCAAACAAATTAGTCATCCCTAATACTAATTGACAACAACTGCAAGATAAACGGAGATGTAATTAGGAAAAAAATAAACACTACTAACACCAATTCATGTACTGGTATGTATCAAATACACTGGGTACAATTCAAAAATGTTTATATGGGGGAGACATCAAGGGATCTAAAAGATCGTATCTACATGCAAACGATATAACTCGTTCTGCATCGAAACGATGCTGGACATAACTTTGATATCACTAATGCCACCCTAATTAAAAAAAGAACATTATTCTTTCAGAAGAATATTCATTTAATTCTTAATAATAACCTTATTACCAATTGTAAACACACTAAGACATTACATCATATCGCCATCTTTGTTTGAATTCATTCTTAAAGGATGTAACTTATATGTATCTAATACAAAAACTACATGCTTAAAGAGTTCAGATATAAATTAGAATGATGTGAAACACCACTGCGCTGACTGACCGCACAAAGCAGAAGACATTATGATTCACACGAGACAGATCTACATATACAATTTCGAATTGATATTAGCACCCGAGGCCCACTTAGACATAGAAGAATCTTCATAAATTTACATACATATAGAATTATCTACGGTTTTTATGCACGTAATACGTAACTGACTAACGAGAACTAATATCCAAAAAATTGAAAATAATAAATTTTCTGTCCTTTTGTCTGTTCTCTCTCAATCTCTAATAAATGAGAAACATTAGATTGAGAGACGTCTGAAATTTGTTCCGTGTTTTATCGGACTCTGTTTCATAGTTGATCTGCATTTGATTATTAATTATAAGACTCTACTGCTGGTGATAAGACAAGTAAATCAATTAAGAAGAATAAAGAGAATATAAAGGTTAGAATAAAAAGAAAAAAGAAAAAAAGAAAGAAGAAAGAAAGGAAATAAAGAGAAGAAATAGAGAAAGAAAAATAAAGAGAATGAAAAAGAGAAAAATAAAATAAATTAGGAAGAATAAAAAGAAAAAAGAAAGAAAGAAAGAAAGAAAGGAAATATACAGAAGGAAAAGAGAAGAAATAGAGAAAGAAAAATAAACAGAATGAAAAAGAGAAAAAAGAAAATAAATTAGGAAGAATAAAAAGAAAAAAGAAAAAAGAAAGAAAGAAAGAAAGGAAATAAACAGAAGGAAAAGAGAAGAAATAGAGAAAGAAAAAAAAAAAAAAAAATGAAAACGAAAAAGAAAATAAATTAGGAAGAATAAAAAGAAAAAAAAAAAAAAGAAAAAAAAAAAAAAAGGAAATAAACAGAAGGAAAAGAGAAGAAATGAGAAAGAAAAATAAAGAAATGAAAAAAGAAAAAAAAAAAATAAATTAGGAAGAATAAAAAGGAAAAAAAAAAAAGAAAAAAGAAAGAAAGAAAATAAACAGAAACTTGAAAAAGAAAGAAATAGAGAAAGAAAAATAAAGAGAATGAAAAAGAGAAAAAGAAAATAAATTAGGAAGAATAAAAAAAAAAAAAGAAAGAAAGAAGAAAGAAAGGAAATAAACAGAAGGAAAAGAGAAGAAATAGAGAAAGAAAAATAAAGAGAATGAAAAAGAGAAAAAAGAAAATAAATTAGGAAGAATAAAAAGAAAAAAAAAAAAAAAAGAAAGAAGAAAGAAAGGAAATATACAGAAGGAAAAGAGTAGAAATCGAGAAAGAAAAATAAAGAGAATGAAAAAGAGAAACAAGAAAATAAATTAGGAAGAAAAAAAAAAAAAAATAAATTAGAAAGAATAAAAAGAAAAAATAAAAAAGAGGAAAAAGAAAAGAAAATAGAAAGAAAAAAAGAGAATGAAAAGAGAAAAAAAAAATAAAAAGAAATAAAGAAAAAAAATTAAAAGAAGAATAAAAGAAAAAAGAAAAAAAGAAAAAGAAAAGAAAAATAAAGAAAGAAAAAAAATAAAAAAATAAATTAGAAAGAAAAAGAAAAAAAATGAAAAAAAAAAAAAAAATAAAACAAAAGGAAAAAAGAAGAAATAAAAAAAAAAAAAATAAAGGAATGAAAAAAAAAAAAAAAGAAAAAGAAAGGAAAATAAAAAAAAAAAAAGAAAAGAAAAAAATAAAGAAAATATAAGAAAAAAAAGAAGAAATAGAAAAGAAAATAAACAGAAAAAAAAAAAAATTAAAAGAAAAAAAGGAAAAATAAAAAAAAAAAAGTAAGAAAAGAAAGAAAGGAAATAAACAGAATGAAAAGAGAAGAAATAGAAAAAGAAAAATAAAGAGAATGAAAAGAAAAAAGAAAAAAATTAGGAAGAATAAAAAAAAAAAGAAAAAAAATGAAAAAAAGGAAATATAAGAAGGAAAAAAAAAAGAAATAGAAAAGAAAAAATAAACAAATGAAAAAGAAAAGAAAAAATAAATTAGAAAATAAAAAAAAAAAAAAAGAAAGAAAAGAAAAAAAAAAGAAACAAGAAAAAATAGAAAAGAAAAAATAAAGAGAATGAAAAAAGAAAAAGAAAATAAAAGAAAGAATAAAAAGAAAAAAGAAAGAAAGAAAGAAAGAAAGGAAATATACAGAAGGAAAAGAGAAGAAATAGAGAAAGAAAAAAAAAGAGAATGAAAAAGAAAAAAAAAAATAAATTAGGAAGAATAAAAAGAAAAAAAAAAAAAAGAAAAAAAGAAGAAAAGGAAATATTCAGAAGGATAAAGAGAAAATCGAGAAAGAAAAATAAAGAGAATGAAAAGAGAAACAAGAAAAATAATTAGGAAGAATAAAAAAGAAAAAAAGAAAGAAAGAAAGAAAAAAGGAAAATAAAAGGAAAGAGAAGAAATAGAGAAAGAAAAATAAACAGAATGAAAAAGAGAAAAAGAAAATAAATTAGGAAGAATAAAAAGAAAAAAGAAAGAAAGAAAGAAAGGAAATATACAGAAGGAAAAGAGAAGAAATAGAGAAAGAAAAATAAAGAGAATGAAAAAAATGAAAAATAAATTAAAAAGAAAATAAAATTAAAAAGGTAGAATAACAAGAAAAATATAAAAGAAACAAAGAAGAAATAAAGGAAACAAAGAGAAGGATACAGAGAAAAATAGAGAAGGAAAAATAAAGAGAATGAATAGAGGAAAAAGGGAAAATAAAATATGAAAAAGATAACTGAAATATAAAAAAGAGAATATAGAGGAAACTAAAATAAACAGCAGAAAAAGAAAGAGGAGAGAGAGAGTAAGAATAAAAGAAGAGAGAAGGATACGATGAAGAGAAGAAAATTAAGATAAATAAAAAAGAAGCATAACGACTAAGAGAAAAAGATGAAGAGAGAGAAAAAGATAATGTGCATAGAAAGAATGAAAAACATAAATGCATAAAAAATTTAAAAAAAAATTTAGAAAAATATAAAATACAGAAGAAAGAAAATTTTGGGGTCAAATCACAGTTCTTCAATTAGAAAAAATTTAAAAAATATTATGCCTTCTTACACATTTTATACAGCATTTTCAAAATTGAAAGAAAACGGTTAAAAAATGAAAAAAATTTACGAAAATCAATAATATTTTTCAAAAAAATTTTTAAAGGATGTTTGAAAGTGTTTAGTATTAAAATTTAAATACAAAATAAAATATAAAAAAAGTATTCAAAGAAAAAATCCAACCCAAATTTTCTATAAAGAAAGAAAAAGGAATAAAGAAGGAAAAATAAAGAAAAGGAAAAATAAAGACCAAAGAAAAGAGAAATGAAAAAAAAAAAAAGAAATATGAAAAATAACAAAGAAAAAAAGAAAAATTAAAAAAATTATAAAACGAAAAGGAAAGAAATAAAGAAAAAAATTAAAAAAAAAAAAAAGCAGAAAAAGAATGGAAAAAGGAGAGAGAGAGTAAAAAAAAAAGAAGGAAAGAAGGATACGATGAAAAAAAGAAAAATTAAGATAAATAAAAAAAAAAAATAAATAAAAGAAGAAATAACGACAAAAAAATGACAGGAAGAAGAAAAAAGATGAAACGTACGAAAGAAAAAGATAATGTGCATAAAAAAATGAAAAACATAAATGAATAAAAAATTTAGGAAGAAAAAAAGAAAAAATTTAAAAAGAAACATAAAATATAAACAGAAGGGAAAAAAGCGAATGAAAAGAAAGAAAATTAAATAAATTAAAAAAAATAAAGAGAGAATTTTATGGGGTCATCATCAAGAAGAAAAAAGTATCTTCATTTAAAAAAAATTTTTAAACTTTATATATTATGCCTTCTAAGGAGAAAAAATTTATAGAGCATTTTCAATGGTTAAAATTGTTCAAAAGAAATTTAAAACAAGAAAAAAATAATTTAAAAGAATGAAAGAAAAAAGAAGCTAAGAAAGTATGGACATCAAAATTTCAAAAAATAATAAATAAAAAAAGGATGTTTGTAAAGTGTTTAGTATTAAAAATTTAAAAGCCTATGGGAAAAAATTTTAAAAATCAAAATAACGAAGTACTTAAAAATAAAAAAAAACAGATGGAAAGATTATTTCCAGATGATACGGGGTTCCCTAAATATTTTAAAAAACCAGAACATTTTTTTAATTGCAAGATTTTTTGGGGGTTTTAATATTGATTTACTGATATACACCTTCTGTTCATCAAACCAGAGTTGGTTCTGGTTCATGCCCTTTTCAAGGTACACGAATATATAAACCCGATTGGAATTCAACTCTAAAGAAAGAAAAAAAAGCGAATAAACACGAAGGAAAAATAAAGAAGCAAATAATAGAAATATGCAGACCAAAGAAAAAGAGAGAATGAAAACGAAAAAAAAAAAGGAAAGTGGAAGAGGGAAAATGAAAGAAGGGAGGGGAAAAAAAGAAGAAGAAAAAAAAGGAGGAGGAGGAAAAAAAGAAAAAGGAAAGGAAGGGAGAAGGAGAAAGAAGTCCAAAAAAGAAAGAAGAGAAAGAAGAAGAAGAAGAAGAAGAAAGAAGAAAAAAAATGAAAGGAAGAAGGGGGAGAAAGAAAAGAAGAAGAAAAAAGAAAAGGGAGGAGAAGGAGAAAGAAGAAAAAGAAGAGGACGAAAGAAGAAGAAGTAGTAGAAGAAGAAGAAGAAGAAGAAGAAGAAGAAGAAAAAGGAGGAGGAGGAGGAGGAAGTAGTAGAGGCGGGAAGAAGAAGAAGAAGAAGAAGAAGAAGAAAGAAGAAGAAGAATGAAGAAGAAGGAGGATTAGGACAAAAAGACTCATAAAGAATTGCAATAGTGGTAGACATGAGTTCGGTTTACACAAGAACATGACAGTTGAAAGGAAGGAAAAGGAAAGAATGAGTAAAGAAGATGTAAAAAAAAAGAAAAGAAAGAGCCGAGGAAAAAAAAAGAAAAGAAAATATAGCAAGACATTGGTTGGTTACAGAAGCAAAAAATACGAAGGAACTGAAGAAAGAGGATGGAACAAAGAAAGAGAAAGAGGATGGAACAAAAAAAAAGAAAGAAAGAAGAGAAAGCAAAGAAAAGTGCAGATGGTATGAAGTTGAAGCAATCCAAGAACTCGAAGAAAAAAGAAAATGAAGGAGAGAAAAGTCTTATTAACAATATGGGATAAGTTACAGAAAATGTTGAATTGGAAAGAAATGTCCAAAAACGAAGAATTTAAGCTAAATAATTTAATATTCTTGTAAAGAACGGTCCAAAAATAAAAGAAAATATATCTTAAATACATAAATGAAATTTTTGAAAAATCTCGTTTCTTTACAACTGCTGCAGTGAAAACCTTGCAATTAACACCGTCAAGATAATGTTTCGAACAGAGAGAAAACAAAGACATTTTTATTTTGTTTTTACATTAATTAAATGATCAAAACTTCATTAATTAGCATCATCAAAGCGACTCATTAAAGCAATCAATTAGAGTGAGTGACAATAACAACAACAAAAATAAAAGTTTTTTTTTTTTTTAAATATATGAAAATATTTTAAATTTTTCGTCATCTGTGTTGATTTGTCGATATGCTTTGAATAATTTCTTTCTTTTTCTTTCTTTTTGGATAACCTGAAAATAAATCCTTGCAAATTATTCTCTATAAAATCCAGCAAATAAAAGTAGAAGGAATGGTTTTAAAAATTGTTTTTGCTGCCTGTTACGGTAAATATTGATAGCAACATCATTACGGCCATATATTTCTTTTTAATCATTTCATTCCAATGAAATTCCACCAATTCAGGCCTTTACAGCTAAGACACAGGATGTCACATTTTCGGTTTGTTTATTTTTTTTAATAATTTCACACTAAACAAGGCAATAAAGTCACTAAGACGTAACAGGTTATTGACATTGCGTTTAAATCTTTGAAGATCAAAGTTGACTTGGAAGCAAGAAGACGGAAAAAAGATTATCACAAGCGAGAAATACGATGAAAAAAAAAAAAAACTTTCAGCATAGAACTTACATCTAGCCATAGCCTTGAAAGCACCTGTTCCTCTACGATCACCAAAATTAAGCAACGTCGAGCCTGGTCAATATGTAGATGGGTGACCGATTGGGATTAACAGGTGCTGCAAGATTGGATGTGTGGTTAGGGCCATTGAAACACCGGTTCCCGTACGATCACCGAAGTTAAGCAACGTCGATCTTGGGCACTATCCAAATGGGTGACTGATTAGGTTATCCTGCTGTAAGCTTTCATATGCGTTTAGAAATGGCTTAGGTCTGTATCACATCGAAACACCGGTACCTGCACGATTACCGAAGTTAAGCAACGTCGTGTCAGGTCAGTACCCAAATGTGTGGCCGATTGGGATTACTGTCAGCTCGGATGTTCACTTAGAATTAGCTTACGATTATATCAGATTTAAAACACCGATTACCGTACGACCACCGATGTTAAGCAACATCGAGCTTGATCAGTATCTAGATAGGTGACCACTAGGGATAACCAGGTGCTGTCATGCACTAGGATGTGCGGGTGGTGTTAATGGATAATGGCTTAGAATTCTTAATCAGAAATCCGAATTATAATTGGAGTCGGGTTCGTTCACTTATGCTGAACTACTATTGAGAAAGGCATAAAACCACATCTTCTTCTTACCAGACAGCTATGGGTGAATTAGTAGAACTTGTACAAGTAAATCATTATTATGTCAAAATATTTTCCAATCTAAAAATGTTTTCTGGCTTTAAATAACCTGCAAATGTTTGATGAAACAAATGAAACCGGATATTTATAACGGGTTGTTACATTTGTTTTATGTGTATTAAATATATCGTATAAATATTAAACATCTCATACACATTGCAATATGTGATGATGTAATAGATAATGGCTTGGCATCGTTAATCGGTGAGCCGATAAAACAAATAGATAATCCGAGATAATCCGTAGAAATCGAATCAATCAATGAATCTACTAATTAAGCAGAAGCAATTAAAAGAAGAAATTAGTAAGACTTGTAAACCATTATTATCGCCTGAATATATTATTAAAATCTAAAAATAGTTCCTGGCTTTAAATAACCTGCAAAGGTTTGATAATCCGTAGAAAACGAATCAATCAATGAATCTACTGATTCAAATAGAAGAAATTAAAAGATGAAATTAATAAGACTTGTAAACCATTATTATCGCCTGAATATATTATTAAAATCTAAAAATATCTTCTGGCTTTAAATAACCTGCAAAGGGTTGATAACCCGTAGAAAACGCATTTAGTCACTGTCTGAAGTTATGCAAATCAAATATACGTCAATAACTCAAAAAGGATTTAAACCAATATTTGTCAAATTTAAACTTGTCCATTTCCACCCCCAGTAAAATATTTAATTAAATATTCTACCATTTTTAATTGTTAGTTTTGAGATATTTGTATTTTACGAGAATGGACTCACTGGAGTCAATATACAGATTAAACTAATATTAGCTTAACACCTCTGAAATCTAATCTTGTCTATAATATATGTTGAAGCATGGGTAAAAAGAAAAATCTAACTACTGGATAAAAACAGAAAATACTAAAGTTATTGAGTCAGGGAACGTCCACATTGGAGACAGGAAAGGAGTTTCGCAGAGATCATCAAACAATAAAGAAGGCTGATGAAAATATAAGGAGAACTCGAAGCATGAGAAAATGTTTTAAGAACTTGCTTCCTCGAGATGAACATAAAGTAAAGAGAGTTATAGCAAAACAATCACTTTTGATCAGCGCTCAGATCATTGAAAAGTCTGGAATTGAGGGAGTCAAGAAGGACAAAAGGTGTAGAATACTTTGTGAATTAGGATCTGTAAAAAAAAAAAAATCACCAACGCAAGTTCCTCTCACTAAAGCAAATATTTCAAAGCGTCGAAATTTGGCCAAGAAATACATGGAAATTAACTTTTCTAAAATAATTTTCACGGACGAATCTCAAATGATATTTGATGGACCTGATGGATGGGCTAGAGGATTGGTTTTATCCAATTCAGACGTACCTGTAGCTAAAAGAAGGCAACAAGGAGGCGGCAATGTCAGGATATGTGCTGGAATTTCGACCAAATCATTACTGGACCATTCAAAGTGGATGAAGGAGTTAAACAGTGCTCGCTACTGCGATTTTATAAACAAGACTTTCTTTGCATAGTACAAGCCCCAGTCTCACACTTTCAAAGTGAAGTGTCCATTTATTCACGGCAATGTACCTTCTCTTGTATTTAAACTTACTCGTGAAGTCTTTGAGCATAAATGATTTACAGAAGAGATGATAATGCAATGGCCACCTGACCTGAATCCGATCGAAAATCTATGGTCAATTGTGAAGATGAAATTATATAAAGGTGACAAACAATATAACAGCAGAGCAGACCTATGGGAAGCAATTAAAACTACCATGTCAGAAATTGAACCTGCTGAAGTAGAAAAAAAATTACAGAATCTATGGATAATAGATTAATGACTGTTAATGAGAAGGGTCACTATATTAAAATATAAAAGGATTCCAAGACTTATATGTGTTTGTTATTTGTTCTATTATAGGTATTCATCAATTGATGATTTTATTAACTTTTTATTAATCAATGAATGAATCTACTGATTAAGTAGAATAAATTAAAAAAAATAAATTAGTAAGACTTGCAAACCATTATTATCGCCAAAATATATTATTAAACTCTAAAAATAGTTTCTGGCTTTAAATAACCTGCAAAGGGTTGATAATCCATAGAAAACGAATCAATCAGTGAATCTACTGATTGAGCAGAAGAAATTAAAAGATGAAATTAGTAAGACTTGTAAACTATTATTATCACCAAACTATATTATTCTGGCTTTAAATAACCTGTAAAGTGTTGATAGTCGGTAGAAAATGTATCAACCAGTTATTTTTATTAGGTTTTGTCAAATATTTTTAAACGGTAGATTTTTAGAATACATCAAATAACGTTTCGGTCGTTGTACGCTCCTGTTATCTTCAGGTGGTTGGAATGTTGAACTGAACACTTTATTTCGCTCCACAAGCCATGTTTCATGTTATCTCCTTTGAAAGTTCTCCACTGCCTTAAACGGGTATTGAACTCACACTCTTTGAGTCCGGTCACTGGATCTAACTAACACCTTTATCCACTGTGCCATGTGTCCTTGAGGACATCTGTGGATGAATTTCTGGGTATTATAAATCTAATGTCTTCAGCAATATTTTTTTTACCAGTGCTCATATTGCACTTTTTGCTGTTATCAAAAACATGTTTTTACCAGAGCTCATATTGCAATTTTTGTTGTTATCGCTTTTCTCTGGCACTCCTTATTACTGGTTCCCATATTGTATTCATTTCTATGTTTTGTTGACTCAGGAGATTTTTATGGCCTAGCATATGTGCTGATTCCTTAGGTTTACGAATTTTCTAATGGTGTTCTTTGTCTATGATCTCAACCTGATCGTTGTAATAAATGACGGTCGAATAATGTAAAAGATGAGGACAATAGTCCGAATTGTAATAAAAAAAGAGTGTTAATAATGAAAAACCTCATCTTAGAAACCTATAGATAGACAGATACTGAAAGACCGAAACGTTGTAATAAATATGGCGACAAAGAAGAGGACAATAGTCCGAATAATGTAAATAGTGTACATAATACCTCATCTCAGAAATATAGACAGATACTGAAAGGCCGAAACGTTGTAATAAATAAAATATGGTGAATAAAGATGATACCAATCAGTCCGAAACGTAATGTAAATAGTCTGAATAATGTAAATAGTTTACATAATACCTCATCTCAGAAATATAGACAGATACTGAAAGGCCGAAACGTTGTAATAAATATGGTGACAAAGATGAGGACAATAGTCCGAATAATGTAAATAGTGTACAAATAAACGTTCATCAATCAGAAAGTATAGACAGATACTGAAAGGAAGGGCCGAAACGTTGTAATAAATATGGTGACAAAGATGAGGACAATAGTCCGAATAATGTAAATAGTGTACATAATACCTCATCTCAGAAATATAGAAGAGGGCAAATAGATCAAATAACTTCAATAAAACAAATTAATACTCATCTCAGAAATAAAATCTTACCTCAGGATTTTATTTTGAAATAGTTTACAAATATATCAAAATTGATAGTCTAAAATTCGACAATTTTTTTTTCAAACCAAATTTGAATTATTGAAGTTTATATGATTTGCTTAATAAATTCAGACAATATATATATATATATATATATATATATATATATATATATATATATACCACACACACGTACACACGATTTGAGCCGTTACACCATCAGAACATCCAATACTACAGCACAAGTTATTCCCAATTCTAGTTACTAACAAGGACCGAATTTACTTCACTCCGTTGATCGTACGAGAACGGGTGTTTCAACGTTTTATAGATGTAAGACTCGATCTGTTAGATCTGTTAGAGCTCGGTCAGAGGGAGATCAGTTCTGATCATCAAAATTTGGTGGGAGGTACAACCAGAAACTGTAGTATCCACTGCATATAACTATATCTTAAAACTTCCACAAACCCAAGATGAAGCGTGATTTTGAGGCTGAAAATCTCGAAAGAAAACGCATTAAATGCGCCTTTTATAACCATTGTGCACACATACACATAACCAAAAAACCATCCGCATGTATTTTTTGTACTAAACATCACCCAACTGAAGGCTTAAGAGCCACTCAAGGTAGAGGGTTATTGATGCAACGGCTGTAATGTATGAGATGTATAAGGTGGATGAAAAAGAAGTTGATAAGTAGTTAAGATTATGATAAGGAGGAAACATAATTAAATTTTGACTAGAAGAACTTGAGACTAAACTGTTCAGGAAAGCAGCCATGCGGGAGGCTGTCCTGCGAAGTAGCTGTACAAAAGAAAAAGAAACGTTAGTGGGTGTCAGTCAACGAAAATAATAAATTCAGTTGCATTTCTTAAGTGAAACTTAATTCTTGATTTGGAATATGGGGGAAAAGAGTGTGATTCGGTTCTGTGGCTTGTGTGAATTGCAAGGTCTGCTGCTAGGATATTTAGTTCAATGTCGTGCTCGGCAATTTTTCTCGTCAGTTTCTATCTTTATAAGGCTAGCATCCGTCCATGAATTGAATATTACTGTCACATCTGGTGCGCCTGTTATGTAGTCAGAGATTATTAATAAAACACAAAGAAATCTCTGCAATTGTTCTTGGTCCTGACATGGCATCTCGGCTTCAGTCACTTCAGTAGCGTACCTTCTCTGTGCTTTTTCTGTAAATATTCTTATGGTAATTGTTCAAATGAACTTTCCACTATAGTACCTTGACCTTAGGAATCTAAGCCTAGTACTTGATTAGCGGTCTTCTACAGCCGAAATAGCGAGATGTAACCGTAAATTCTATGCTGATAGTTTCTTCTATAGCACTTCTTGCTTGTGAGACTCTCTTGTGGATTCGCGCTTTCCAGACAATTTTAAGCTTCAAAATTTTAACTGCAA